CGGGAACCCGGCTTTTATATTTATCATACCTTTATTTGTTTATTTTTGTCCTGTTTCGCGATATTTGTGGGTTTTATGTGTTTTTTAATTTGTGTATTTTGTTTTCTTCGTTTTTTCTTTCTTGTTGAGTTACTTTTCTTGTTTTATACACGTCGTTTTCTTATTTCGATATATACATTTCCCCTTTTTGTTTTGTTTATATTCTGATGTATTGCCTTTGAATTACATCTTAATCGTTTTTATTCTCTTTAATATACTTATCCTGTATTTATCAATGTTATTGTGCTTATAATCATAATTTTCTTTCAATTCTGTGGAGTTAATTACTAATTATCATCGAAAATTAACTACTGACGTATATTTTTTTTCCGCAACTGTAAAATAAAAGATCTTCTCTTTTTATCATACTATCAATGCATAATCTCACCATGATTTTTCCCTGATATATAATTTAAATCTTCATTTAATGTGTATTATATTACAAAATTATCGTGGTGACTTACCTGAATTAAGAAAAGTTGTTATAAATGACTCTATGGTTGGAATTAAGGACTATATATATATATATATATATTCTTTTATTTTGGTTCATTTCGTTATTCTGGTTAATCTTCTAGATTTGACATAATTATCTTTCTTTCATTTGCACAGGATGATTTTAGTATGATACTCATATTCGTTAAAAAATAACGAACTCGTGGTTTATATATTTTTCTTTGTTTTTCTATTCTGCGTATGTATATACACACACAAACAGGCAAACAAACACACACACAAACAAACATACACACAAACACAACACACAAACAAATACAAACACACACAAAAATACAAACAAACACACAAACATACAAAAACAAACAAAAACACAAACACACGCACAATCAATGCAAACAGACTTGGGAAAACATACAAATACACACAAAAACATACAGTGACACATACAAGAAAATAATCAAAGACACAAACACATACAAACAAGAAATGCATACAAAGACACAAACAAACACACAAATATGAATAACGATGCTTAACAAAGAACACAAACAAACACACAAAAATGAATAACGATGCTAACATAGCGCAAACAAATATTCTGAGAGACACATACAGACACACAAATCCAAGCAAAGATAAATCTCTTCAAAAGCACAAACACACTCATAGTAGAACACACACAGACAAACAAACAAAGATATGCATAGATACACATGGACATGGAGACACACACAATCGGGAAAATACAAGTAACAGAGGATACACACAATTACACATACAGAGAATCATACATAAACAAATCTAGTTGTACATGTACGTAAACAAACAATACTAGCAAGCAAATGTACACATAGTGATACATGCAAAAGCACAAACACGCAAATACACTATTTTATATACAGAGATACAAACGCATAAGCAAATATATACAGGTATACATAGCCATATACAAGCTCACATAAGCAAATATAGAATTTACTTAAAAATACATGAACAAAACAACAGAAGTATTAGATATATACATAGATGCAAACACGTAGGCCTACATATACATGGATGCAAACACATAGGCCTACAAACACATGGATGCACATATAAACAAACTCAGGCACAAACACATACAGAGACATGCAAACTGTTTGACACACAAAAGCATAAGCTCACAAACAAGGCCTAAGGTACACACGGACACAAACACACAAACACACAAACACAAGGATATATTCAAGTAATTGCAGGCCTACATACAAACAAACAAACAAGAGATCCATACAGACATGATATACAAACACATATAAATTCAGACAAACAAACACAAAGATACGTGCAACATACATATAAACTAGAAGAATTACTGACACAAACGCATACACACAAACACTGATTTTCATGCAAAGAAACACAGACAAATATAAATCCAGAAACACATACAAACAATAATAAAGACACATACAGACACAGATATGCACAAGCGCAAACACTTAATGATTTATAAGAGGTGTACACATGATGCATCCAAAACCAACAACACAACACAAACACACACACACACACACACACACACACACACACACACACACACACACACACACAACACACACACACACAACACACACACACACACACACACAACACACACACTCGCATAAATCACACCAACAAGCACATACACATACCAACAAACACATCTACAAACACAAACTATTACAAACAAACACATACAAACAATTATAAATTCAGACAAACTCACGTACAAACACACAAAAATACTATTTTTTTACCTACCACATTCCCAATGAAAAAAATAAATCTATAATAGAACCTTGTATCTATAACAACTATCGAAAAAACAGAAAAATAATGAAAACTGAACAATAAAAAAATCAGTAATAACCGTTAAAAACAATAAATAATGGTTATCCATAAGTAAAAAAATGAATGAAAACAAAATGAAAACTGAAGAGGAGAATATAAATGAAAACAAAAGTAAGAATAATCAATG